CCTAATATACCCCACACACTGACAGGTGCCACTGTAACAAGATAGGCAATGTTCTTCACCTGTGATAGACTGTGACCTGTTCTGGATGTACCCCACCTCTCGCCCAATGTCAGCTGGGACCCCCTTCAGGATAAGCGGGTATAGATGATGGATGGATGGATGTTCCTATCAGTGGTCATAATGTTATGGCTGTATGACTGATGGGAAAAATTAACCAGACAACACTATCAGATTAGAGAATTAGCATCTGTGTTGGCTGATATCAGAATTTGAACACACGTAATCAAATGCCTAATACAAAGTTTGTGTGCGTACATGATACATCATTTGTCAATTATCAGTCAGCAAAAACCTATCATTCAATCCAAATAATTAAACCAAAGTAAACTACTCAATAAAGAAAATGAATCCTAGCATGCCAGTCGACACTGCTATGCTATAATATATTATAAATCAGGATTGAGCAGTAATCATTCTAAATGCTAAATATGAATCAATTAAGTCATCATCAGCAACCACTTAGCAATCTTTGAGGAATTAGCCGTTGTAAACTAGTGAATGTTGTGAGATTAAACAGATTAATATGTAAAAGTGAAGATGTTTAAATGTTAAAATGGAACGTAAAGAAAGTTAACATTAACGGAGCATTGATTTGGAAGAAACTCAGCTCAGGCAGCATGTAATAAAAATCAAATATAAGAATCAAATGTCAAGCAGGGTGAAGCAGACGGGCGCTCTCAGTCTCAGCAGTTTCCTTCAGCAATCGCTAAGAAGCCTGTGAATATCGAAATGGCCTTTGGACCCACATACATGACTCTAGATAGAAGTGAGAAAACAAGCTTTGTGTAAACCCATCCAACATATAAATAAGCAGCTCATTTAGTGAGGTACTTGATCTGTGTAGTTGCCTGCTGAAGCCATGGAGGCTGCAGACAAAGGAATCCAGCCAGGAGTGACAGCTGGAGCAGCAGCACAGCCTGCAGGAGAGACGGGCAGCAGCAGCAGCATGGACACCAGGTACTGTTTCACTGTATGTACTGTCTGCAGCACATGAAACTGTCTGTAACAAGATTGTCACAGTGAAAATGTGAGCTCCTAGTATCCTGGATATCTTGTTTTATGCCTCCCAGTGTTTTTCTCTATAAAATGTATCAGTACCAATGTTGAAACTGAAAGCTTGCTTTGTCCTAGTATAATTAAGTTGTCTAAAGGTTTGTTTATGCTCATGGGTTCTGTTTTTTTCTTACATACTCCAGTGTTATAGTTTGCTGTGGACCCCAGTAACAATAGCTCATAATTTTCTGCTAAACCGATGATCATCTGTCTAGTGAGTGAGCTGTGGCTTAGCACTGCTCAGTGATTCAGTGATGTGTTCACAGTGGGCAGTCTGCAGCGGGAGCCCTCTCTCTGTCCTCTTCTTCAACACTCCTGGACATCCTGGAAGCCATCAAACATCCCACGTGAGATTTGTTTTTGTGTGTTGTGTCCTGATATATGAATAGAAGCAGAGTTGCAGTGGGTCACAAAAATACCCTCACACATATTCTTGCTTTTACTGATTTGCCTGTAAAGAAAACCAATTACATCAGGTATTATTATTATTATTGCTAGTTACCTTGTCTGAATAAAAATTAAAACTTTGTTCAAGGACGTATCGATATAGATAATCTTATTATGGTGTTTCTTTTTAGGAAAACAGTTTTTTCAGATGGTGATGTGTCTGTGCCATCTGATTATTACAGGACCGGTGTACAGCTGCTCCCAGAACAGAAGGGCCTGCCACTCAACTGCTTCATCAGCGCTGAGGTGGTTCATTGGCTGGTCAGCAGTGTGGAGGGGGTGACTACACAGGGGATAGCTGTGGATATTATGCAGGTAGGAGCAGGAGCTGTCTGTCCCTTGTCTTCTAAAAAGTCGGTTAGGTTAGGGATAGGACAGGGTTAGGCATGTAGTGGTTATAATTAAGTGTAGGGTAAGTCTCCAGGAAATGAATGTAAGACGATGTAAAGACCTGCTAAGTGACGAAAGCGGGAGTGTGGGGGTGTGCACTAACCTTTCTGTAGCACAGCTTAAGCTGCTGCGTTGTGTATAGTACACTTGTATGTATGTTGAACAGAATGTTTCTGTGCGTTTGGTATGTGTAGAAAATGCTGGATGAAGGTTTGGTGGCCCACGCTTCTGGAGACGCCATGCGCACATTTGTCTACGGCTTCTACTTCTACAGGATAGTAGCAGAGAAGGACGGTGAATGGATTTCATATGTACACAGAGGCCACAGGGCTTACTGCTGTTATCTCAGTATAGATTTCTCACATGCTCATAGTGTGTCCATAAACTGTGTTGTATATACTGTATCTATATGTAATTAGTGTCAGATGATTAGAAATATCTGTTGTCCTTGTTCTCATGTAGAAGTGTCGAGAGGGTGTTGTCATGATGTTCTCTGTGCTCTGCAGCTCTCACCTCCCAGCCCCCTCCTACAGCAGCTGGCGGATGGTCTGCTGCAGCCCTGGAGGACTTTGCCCTGTTCCAGAGGAAGTGGTTTGAGGTGGCTTTTGTGTTGGAGGAGCGACGACCCTGCGACCTCCCGGCCTTCCTCCTTCCCTGGCTGCCCAGTCGGCCAGCCTCCTATGCAAGTAGGCACAGCTCCTTCAGCCGCAGCTTTGGAGGACGCAGCCAGGCCGCCGCACTGCTAGGTACACCCAGCCTGAACCTCCTGGCCCAGCCCACAGAGGAGCCATGACCTCCTGCATCATCCAGCCTGATGCAGATCATAGTCAGGTTTACTTCAGAGGAGTGTCTGGGTCCAGTATTTACATGTCACTGTGACCACAGAGGGTGCACTTGTTTTAGTGGTCTTGGTTGCCCAAAATCTAATTGGTCCTTTTAGTGCTGCTGATGAATCATTTCTATGAACATTATGGCAGTTTGTTGTGCCCTGGCTAATATCTACCCATTACTTGATCTGGGGCATAGTGATTATCATCAAGTGTGCCCTCCAGCTTCCATACAGTATTCATCCACATCCCCCTGAGGCTTGTTGTTTTCAGTTTGTGCCAGACAAATACCTGGAGAAGCAGGTCAGTGCAGAGGGAAATGGACCAGCACTATAGGTTACCATAGTACTATAAATATACTATAGAGGCTAAC